GCGAAATACCGATGCCATCGAGCATGCGGGAGAATTTGAAGCGATTTTCGGCGCCGTCGACGGATTCCGGTGAGGTTCCGAGGATGTGAGCCTGCTGTCTATGCAGATCCATGGCAATATTATTAGGTAGCTGTCCACCCATGGACAGTATTATGCCCTCAGGGCACTCACAATCATATATGTCCATCACCACCTCAAAGGAGATCTCCTCGAAGTACAATCTGTCGCTCATGTCATAATCTGTGCTGACTGTTTCCGGATTATAATTCACCATGATCGTTTTACGTCCGAGATTTCGCAGCTCACGCAGACAGCTCACGGCACACCAGTCGAATTCCACTGAGCTGCCGATTCTGTATACACCGGATCCTAAGAAAGACATCGCATTTTTTTATTAGTCATTCAATGTTCCTTTAATATAATACTTAATATAATGCTTTGAATCATTATTTAAATTATGTACCAATACAGTCATTCCTTAGCGCTGCATATTTTCTTGTTCGGCTATGGAGAGATCATTGATAAGAATTGATTCTCATTAAACACAATGTTTAATTAATAAAATTGTGTTTTTATATCCAAAAAAGATCTATTATTTTATTTTTGTGATCAATCAACATGCAATGATAATAATAATTTATAACATTTTACCTATCACCATCGTATATCCGCCGGGAAATTCCACATCGTGAGTAGTGCCGTTGTACGTTAGATAAAGATAATTCGTGCTGGCCGGCCATTCAGCGGCCACCGTGTCAATTTGCTTGATCATCGGTTTGATGTTGTTCTCCTGTCTTTGTATCCTGACAGCCAATTCGGAGCTCTTCACCAGAGCGGCAATCTGTTTATCCGAAAAACCATTCTGCTTCGCGCCCAGCAGTAAGTCGTGCGAAAGTTTTGTGTGATCGATATTCTCCAGCAGCGCGTAATAATCAATAATGTTTTTCATCTTCTCGAGGAACCAACGATCTATCTTGGTGAGTTCGTACAATCTGTCGATCGTGTAACCAGCCTTGATCGAAGCAGCAAGAACGAACATTCTCTTGTCGGTCGGCTTCTCCAGTTCTTCGTCGTTGATCGCTTTCGCATAAGGATCGAAGCCATTTACATTCTCGTTGACCATTCTCAATGCTTTCTGAAATGCTTCCTCGAATTTGCGACCGATCGCCATCACTTCGCCCACGCTCTTCATAGAACTGCCAATCTGAAAAAAATATTCAACATGTGTTATTACAAAGAAATATCAAAATAAAAATAATTATACATATAAAATATATAAATTGTACATATAAAAAATATCAATGTACAAATATTTTGAAAATTTCCTTTTTCTTTTCTTTAAAAATTAAAAAGAAAGAAAAATTTGTTTAAATTCTTTATTCTTGTTTCTTTCAATTTAAAAATTTTATTTTTAGTAATTTAATGTTTAATTTTCAGGTTCAAAACGTACCAACAAGATAAGTAGCGATCAAATTATCAAAATACCTTGGTGCTGACACGATGAAATTTGCTGAGATCCCATCTAGGTATCTTAACTACGCAGTAATCGAGACTCGGCTCGAAGCAAGCCGTAGTCTGACCGGTGACAGAGTTATGGATGTTCGGTAGATGTATTCCAAGAGCCAATTTCGCAGCAACGTAAGCCAGAGGATAGCCTGTAGCCTTGCTGGCAAGAGCAGAGCTTCGAGATAATCTAGCATTCACTTCGATAATATAATATTCCTCGCTCAAAGGATTGAGCGCATATTGAATATTACATTCTCCGATGACACCGAAGTGCCTGATGACCTTAATGGCGGTGGTTCGCAGCATGTTGTACTCTTTATTCGACAGTGTCTGACTCGGCGCGACGACGATCGACTCGCCGGTGTGGATGCCAAGAGGATCGACGTTCTCCATATTGCATACGGTAATACAGTTGTCGTATGCGTCGCGGACGACTTCATACTCCACCTCCTTCCAACCCTTCAATGATTTGTCGATTATTAATTGACTGGAATGAGCTAGAGCTTGTTGCGCCAGCGCCCTCAGCTCTTCTTCCGTATTAGCGAAGCCCGATCCAAGCCCACCGAGTGAGAACGCGGCACGCGCCATTATGGGGTAGCCAATTTTTTCAGCAGCTTCCAATGCCTAAAAAAATTATGTATTTAAAGTACATGTGTTAATAATGTATAAGTACTAACATGTTGATTCTCTATGAAAAATATTATAGTTTTCATTCATTCAAAGTTTTCATTCGTTTAACTGTCACATAAATTATTTTTCACAATAAAAGACTTTGTTAAATAAAAAACAATATGTAAGGCGATCTGCATGTTAATTTCATAAATTCATAATCTTACAAAACTGTAAGAAATATTCTAGTTTGCCAAGTAATTTACCTCTTGAACGGAGTACACGGCAGCACTCGGTGCGATTCTTTCATTTATCTCGCTAATACTGTCCGCAAATATTTTTCGATCTTCAGTCTGTATGATGGACTCAATCGGCGTTCCTAGAATTTTAACATTGTACTTCGCAAACACGCCGTTTTTCTCCAATTCCACGCCGCAATTTAGGGCAGTTTGTCCACCGAAAGTTAATAATACGCCGTCTGGTCTTTCTGATTGTATTACCTAAAAAAATTATTTATTATTAGAAATAAAACCTTTTTTACATTTTAATACTAAGAAATATTAAGCAAAATTGTTAATTGTAAATTGTCTACATTATTAACAAAAAATTCATTCCTTAAAACTACAAACGCACTGCGGCTCACCTGTTCAACATATTCCGGTATAATTGGCAAGAAATATACTTTATCAGCCATGCCTTTTGATGTTTGCACCGTAGCAATATTCGGATTTATCAGAAGAGTCTGTATAGACTCCTCCTTCAATGCTTTTATCGCCTGCGAGCCCGAATAATCAAATTCTCCGGCCTGGCCGATGCTGAGCCCTCCCGATCCTAGAATCAATACTTTCTTCGGCCGCTCAATCGCAATCGGGACCACAGGTTCATAGGTCAGCTTCTGCGTGAGTCTGTCTTTTGTAGAAATCCGAGGATGACCACCGATCTCGGCCTTCACGCTTTCTAGGAATACATCGAAGAGACACTCGAGGTCCTGGGGTCCTGCCGTGTGTTCCGGATGAAATTGAACGGAGAAATACGGCAGATTCGAGTGAATTATACCCTCGTTACTGTTATCGTTCGTATTGGTGAAGAGCACCTCCCAATCAGCCGGTAATTGAGATGCATCGACGCAAAATCCGTGATTCTGCGAGGTCATGTAGCAACGTCCGGTGCTGTGGTGAGTCGCCGGTTGATTGTGACCTCGATTGCCGTAGCTGCAAGTGAATGACATTTATAACAATGGACTATTACTCTTTGATTTGCATAACAGAAAGATATTCGCTAATGAATATAGCGATGAAAAAAACAACAATTTTTCGAATGGCAATAGAGGAAGGAAACGTCAGAATTGGAACGTCTAGAACAGGAAGTGCAGCCCGTGTTTTGAAAACCTGTCTTTCAAGTTTGTCCTGAGAGAAGCGTGTATGTTTCAGCATGATCAATCAATATACGAGCATTAATAATATATAATATATTATTGCAAATAGAGAAATAATAATTATGCGCGACTAAAGATATGGAAACAACGAGGAATTTATTATAAATGCGATCCAGCACATTTAACTTGCAATAAAACAGAAATCAAATATGCCATGGAATAATTTATATGTAATAGTATTTGTCAATCCGATGAAAAACGTGATACTATAATTCACGATACGTACTTCATTTTGTATGTAACACAGCCAGCAGCTATGGATAGCAATTGATGTCCAAGACATATACCAAAGATAGGTTTTTTCTTGTCTTGTGCGAGAACTTTTTGAATATTTTCCACAGTCAATTGACACATGTCGGGGTCACCTGGCCCGTTGCTGAGGAATAGACCGTCGTATTCAGCAGCTTTCAAATTATAATTCCATGGCACCACGTCCACGCGAGCACCGCGTTTTAGCAGACATCTTAATTGATTGTACTTTAAGCCGCAGTCAACTACGCATATACGAGGATATCCATTTGGATTATATGTTCTTGGAGTCGGCTGAAAAATAGTATATAATGTATAAATAGTATATTGTAAAAAATGTTTGTCTTAACAAATATTATAATAACTTTTATATATGAAAGATGCTACTAAACTATTAATATCATAAAATGCACATAAAAAAAAGTTAGTTTTACCTGAGAAACTTCTGCAACAAGATTTCTTTTGTTGGGATCTTCTATCAAAGGCATTGCCAACGGAGCATTTGGTGATAATTGGCCGGAAACTATCTTCCCCAGTACAGTACCTTTCTCGCGAATAATTTTCGTCAATGCTCGTGTGTCAATCTCATATATTCCTGGCACATTTTGTTCCTTCATCCATTCTGATAGCGTCTTAGTTTGCCGCCAATGGCTGGGCTTCTCGCAAATTTCACCAACCACCAGTCCGGCGGCCCAAATGCGATGGGACTCGAACCAGCTGCATCAAAATTGATAATTAACTTTATAAACATTCGGATTAATATAAAAAACTTTTAAATATAATTCTAAAAAATTTTTGAAGTATATAAATTATAAATAAATGTAGTTTTTATTTACAAAAAGAATTATTTTTCTTCATTATTTTGTTTTATTCGCGAATTCTATAATTAAAATATAATATACACTTAATGTAATAAAATTTGCAAAAATATAAATGTATATTGCATGAAAAAAGCCCATAAAAGTTGCACGCGCGCCGATGCTCTCTTCCGCTCAATGTATGCGTGCAATGCATAAAGATTAATATTGTTATTATGTGTTAATAGAGCTTGAATTAAGTCTTGTCAGCCACTTACTATGGTATGCCATACTCGTCCTTCTCATTACTAAAGACACCATAATTTCCTATAAGCGGGTACGTAAGTACCAGAATTTGTGCGTGGTAGGAAGGGTCCGTAAGTGACTCCGGATAACCGACCATACCAGTCTGAAAGACTGTAAAAAATTTACATAATTTACTGAACATAGCAATTAATAGAGAAAAAAGAGCTGTAAGATCCAAAACAGGTGTTGAATCGCAAAAAATTGATTACAAATCAATACAGAATAATGACACATTAATAGATTAATAAAAATATGACAATGTAACATTTTATTGTTAGTATCTCATTATTATCGTAATTGTGTTTTCAGAAAAATGTAGTCTTAACAATACTTTAACATATAAATATCGTTTAGAGACACTGTTTTAAAACGTCGATAAAAAAAAAGTTGAAGGTTGAAATGTTTCTCGAATCAATCAATTCTTGCTCGCTTATTCAATCGAAATTTATTCCACGCGACTATTAGTTTCACACATCGTCGTTGCGATAACATGCGTATGCATTTGAAAATTTTCCGCGCAATATAATCCGGCGTAAGGATCACATATATGCATGCAAATTTTAATATCAGCAGATTTGAATTATCTGTCTTCACTATATTCCTATCATAAGATATTTATTATCATAAGATGTTCTAATAATTCCTTAAATTATCACATCGATCAAAATACATTAAGTTTGTTTTAAGAGATTATTTTCTTCTCTTTTTCTTAATCTACTTCCTCGTAAAGTTTATCATAAAATGACAATTTAAACGTACACATAATCGTAACTTGAAACTCGGTAAGAGCTAGCCTGTTTGACGAGATATCTATATACATTTACAGCGTAATCATGTTTATCACCGGTAGCCGGCACGACAGTAACAACAAATGCAAACTAATGTAATATTCGAAGTGGTTTTCGAATAGTTTGAATAAAATTACTTCAAAATAAAACTAAAATAAAAATATATAAAATAACAACAGTAATAGTTTGTACAAACTTAAAATATTTTGATAATTTGATGCCGACGTAATTGTTAATTTTCTTGTTAAACTCAAACATTCAATAAAATTAAAAATCAATCTAAATACCCGAGAAAAAAATGGTATAATATGGTCAGATGTAAATATATATAATTAGTTATGAAAAGATCTGATAACATGTAATATTTTATATGATCATATAAAATTACATATGTTATTAGATCTT